AGCTTATCCTTTGTAATAAAAGATAAACATGTAAATTGACCATCCCTCTGTTACTTTCACCAGCCAATCAGGAGTGAGTATGCAAATTAACTGACAAAGATGGCGGGTTGATTTGCATACATAGGCACCGGGCGGAGAGAAGAGTGGGTGAGCCAGCAGCTTGGGGGGATGTGGCTCCCTCAGTCGCTCTCCCCCAAGCCACTGGGTGGAGAGCGGAGCAGGAGAGCTGGAGGCTTGGGGAGCCGTGGCTCCCTTGGTCACTCCCAGCAGTGCGGGGAGCACCAGGAATTCTGGGAATAGTAGTTCTTATGGCAGCCCCAGGACCAGAAGTGGAAGCCCAGAATGTGGGGAGCACCAGGAATGCTGGGAATTGTAGTTCTAGTGGCAGACAGCTCTCCTAGACACTAGAGCAGCTGTGGGCAAACTACGGCCCGCAGGCCGGATCTGGCCCGTTTGAAATGAATAAAACTAAAAAAAAAAAAAAGACCGTACCCTTTTATGTAATGATGTTTACTTTGAATTTATATTAGTTCACACAAACACTCCATCCATGCTTTTGTTCCGGCCCTCCGGTCCAGTTTAAGAACCCATTGTGGCCCTCGAGTCAAAAAGTTTGCCCACCCCTGCACTAGAGCAAAGTGAGCCTGGAGCAAGTTACTGTTGTGGTGGGGGATGGAGGGAAAACAAAGGTGAGAGACATAAGTAAAATCAGAGTGTCTAGAAAAAATCAAAGGGAAGATATCCTAAAACTTCCAGGAAATCTCCACCAATGAAGCAAAGAAAAAAAAAAGCCTCTATTATTCTGTGAGCAACAAATCAAACTGGGTTGGGGGTCTCAGACAATTCGCTCATATGATTGCAAAGACAGACAGAAACTCCCGGATTGGAGAGGGTTCCCCTGAGGGTTCCCAGATTGGAGAGGGTACATGTCGGGCTGAGGGACCCCCACACACACCAGTGCACGAATGTCATGCACCGGGCCTGTAGTAATTATTTAATGGTGGCAATAGCATACTTAGCATAGCATAGAAAGGCTTTCATGATCTAATTCCTATCTGTCCAACATTATTTCCCACAATATTCATATCTCTAACTTTATACTTACATTTTTCCAGGTTAAACACAACATGCTGTCTCACACCTATGTCTTTGCACTTGAATTCTCTTTTCTCCTTCTACTTATCAGATACACTAGAGGCCTGGTGCACGAAATTAGTGCATGGAGGGGTCCCTCAGCCTGGCCTGCATCCTCTCGCAATCTGGGACCCCTTGGGGGATGTCAGACCTAAACCGGCAGTTGGACATCCCTCTCGCAATCCGGGACACTGCATGCACCAGTGACCATACTTTTCATACAGGTGAAAGGCATCTTGTATGGGTATCTATATTTTTTTGCCCTAATTATAAAAAGTAGTACATAACATGATCCTTCTGAGGCAGTAGTACCATTTTCCCCATCTTATGGTTGGAAAAACTGAAGCAGAGAGAAGTTAAGTAATTGGCTTTGTCACACAGTTTTAAGTGTCAGAATCAGGGTTGACCACAAAATGTGCAAGCCAGAGTCCATGCGTGTCATCGCTGCATCATCGTGTTTCTTCAGTGTTAGAGTAGCCTTGCCAGGTTTTAATTTTTAAATCTAAGGGACTGTTCCCAATTTATAGGGTAGGGTCCCTAGGTCTGGCCAGTGATCAGGGCCAATCTGTGGGGTGACCAGTGGGCAGGGTGATTGGGGGACCCCCACTGGCACCTGCCTTGGCTGGCAGCCTGGCACTGCCCACTGGCCGGCCCCACCCCCCAATTTCCACCGGTGGTCGCCTCCGGGGGCAGCTCCTGCATTGAGCGTCTGCCCCCGGTGGTCAGTGTGCATCATAGTGACTGGCCATTCCGCAGGTCATTCTGCCACTAGGTCAATTTGCATATTGGGGTTTTATTATATAGGATGTGCATCTTTCAAATTCCCAATTGCCATCACTTTCCCAGGAAATGCTTTCCTGATTTTCTCTATTTTCTTTATACATTTGGAATTTTTCAGTTCAAATTTATTTAGCTTTATTTCTGCCATTAATGGTAAATTATAAACTTGCAATATAGCTATTTCTGATGACCTGGTATATAGGGGATATAAATAAATATTTGTTAAATGAATGCCCTATTTTTAAATGTATATATTCTTATTGATAGTATTACAGGTATCTCCCATTTTCCTCCCCCCTTTACTTTCCTTCTCCCAGCCCCTATCCATGCCCCTATTTTTTAACATAGAACTGTTCAAATCTTTATTGGTTAATACCGTCCTGAAAATTAGTTGATAGTCAACTGAGAGTAAGATAGGTGACCTTTTGTACAGATTTAGGAGGTTAAGAAGAAAAAATGAGAGCATGGAAAAGAGAAATTCTGTCACTTACAGTTTTGCTGTGATCCAGTTAGGGCTTCCATAGTAATAGTCATATTCTGTATTCGTTTATCATATACCAGAATGTTACTGCACTCTTTTTTTCCTTCTGATATTGCATTAGATTTTTTTCCAGTTTCCCCCATTAAGATATAATTGATATATGACATTGTATTAGTTTTAGGTGTACAACTTAATGATTTAATATTTGTATATATTGTGAAATGTTTACCACAATAACTCGTTAATCTCTGTTACCATGCATAGTAATAAGTTTTCTCCTTCTGATGAGAACTTTTTTTAAATCCTCACCCAAGGCTATGTTTTTAATATGTACATTTTTTTAATTGATTTCAGAGAGGAAGGGAGAGGGGGAGAGAGATAGAAACATCAATGATGAAAGAGAATCATTGATCAGCTGCCTCCTGCACATCCTCTACTGGGGATCGAGTCTATAACAGAGCACACACCCCGACCAGGAATCTAACTGTGATCTCTGATTCATATGTTGACGTTCAACCATTGAGGCACACCAGCTGGGCCCGAGGATATGTTTTTATTGATATTTTTAGAGAGAGAAGAAGCGGGCTGGGGGGGAGGTGGGGAGAGGAGAGAATTATCTATGTGAGAGAAACATTCATCAGTTGCCTCCCATACGAGCCCCATCTGGGGATTGAATTCACAATGTAGGTATGTGCCCTGACCGGGAATCAAAACTGCAACGTTTTGGTGTACATCACGATACTTCAACCAACTGAGCCACCCAGCCAGAGTGTGAGGAGAACTTTTAAGATCTGTCTTAGGGACTTTTAAATATTAAATATAGCATTATTAACTGTAGTCACCATGTTATACATTACACCTCCAGTAATAGTCCTCTTATTCCTCCATTTTGCTATGTGAAGTTGCTTGATATTCATGAAGACACCTCACAGTTGGTGTCTTCAAGAGTTTTTTGTTTCTTTGTTAGTTTGTTTTGTGTTAAAAAAATTAAAATGTGTAAATACAGATTAAAGAACAAATTCTTATGTACCAACTACCTAGGTCAATAATAGAACTTTGTCATAGTCCAGGGGCCCCTAATGTGCCCTTCCCTGATTGAATTACCATATCACCTCCTAAAGTAATCGCCATCCTGAATTTTATGGAAATCATTCCTTTGTTTTTTGTTTGTTTTCATCATATATGTCTTAACTCCACACTACCTTGTTAAGTGTGTCTGTTTTAAAACTTTATAGTAAATGGAGTCATATTGCATGTACCTTTCTGTGACACGCTTGTTTTGTGCAAGATCATTTTTGAAATTCGTCTATGTGGTGTACAATTTTACTTCACTTATTTCCACTGCTGCATAATATTCCATTGAATTAACACACTGTAATTTACTTATTCATTCTATTTATGGGCATTTGGCTTGTGTCAAGAGTTTGCTGTTATAAACAGTGCTGCTGTAACATTCTCACATATGTCCTGTGCAAGAATTTATCTGTGTAGATACATAGCAGTAGAATAACTAGGACATAGCGTGCACACATGTGAAATTTTATAGGGTATACCAAACTGTTTTTGCAAAGTTGTCATAGCTATTTTCTCTTTCACCAATAGTGTGTGTATGTGTGTGTAGGGGGGCATTCCTCATTGCTCTGAGTCCTTCTTAACACTTGGTATTATTCAACTTAAAAAATTTTGCCAGGCTGGTGATATGAAATGATATCCATAATGATTTGAATGGACGTGTCTCTAATTATTAATGAGGTTGGACATATTTTTTAAAAATATTTTTTATTCACTTCAGAGAGAAAGGGAGAGGGAGAGAGAGATAGAAACATCAATGATGAGAGAGAATCATTGAGTGGCTGCCTTCTGCACTCTCCCTACTGGGGATCTAGCCCAAAACCTGGGCATGTGCTCTTGACCAGAATCGAAGCCCAAACCTTCTGTTTCACTTCTGTTTTTCATTTTTCAAATGTTATCTATATTTTTCTCTTTTATTCATAGGGCTTTTAAAATATATTCTTGATACTAATAATTTGCCAATTAAATGAATTTTAAATATCTTCTTAGTGACTAAGTGGATATGGGAGGTGGGGGGAAAGAAGGAGTCTCTGCTTTGGGTGGATGATGGTGCTAGTAAACTAGGGACTGTAATAGAGGAGGGGAAATAGATTTTGGGGAGAAGGGAATTAATTTATTTTGGAGTTTGATGTTCCTATGGGATCTCCTGGTGGAGATGTTTCATAGAAAGTTGGCTTTAAGGGCCTGAAGCTCAGGACGTGTCAGTTATGCCACATCAATTCTGAAGGAACCTTGTATGATGGGCCTTTCAGGAGAGTACAGTTAGGAATATGGTAGTTTCATTTTAAAAATTTATTTAATTTAATATTATTTTATTTTTTCCATCACCATTTATATCCTGTATGCCTTTTTCCATCCCCGCCCCCCCCCCCCCCTCACCACACTGTTGCCCATGTTTTCTCTCTTTTAGGAATACGGTAATTTTCAAACTCATTTGTCCTCTACCCATCCCAACTTCTCTAGGCTATGGATTCTCCAATTTAAGCATCTCATGAAATAAATGTCCCAATCAAATGACCCACCAGACACTTCATCATAGTTGTAATTAGTTTATTACCTTTTTGGTCTCTCCAGAGAGCACATCATTTTTATTTTGAAAAACAACCAGCATATTTGTCTTACACAATATGCAAAGAAAATACCTAGATTTTAAAATTTCTTCCTTTGCTCATTCATGTGTAGAATTTATACAAGTTACTTTATAAACACTAAAAACAATGTAAGAAACATATACATCTAAGAATTCTACATTGTATAGTCTTGCATTAAATAATACTGTTTCCACATACATTTTCAGACATTTCTAGTTTCTATGTATTTTGTTATATATGTACATCTACACACACACACACACACACACACACACACACACGTGTATAGGAGCATACAACCACCAGAAGAATCTGAGCCCCTTTGAAGGATGGCAGTAGCAGCCCAAGGAATGAAGATCTTTCTTTAAAAAGCATATTGAATTATGATTTCGATTGCATTCTTCTTAGTTATTTGAGATTCTAAGACCTTTGGTAACCCAGAGGCAGAAAGATCCCTTAATAACATTTAAAAGGTATGAAAGGTGAAGAAAGCAGGGCTAGGATTTGGCACATTCACTAAGAACGTAGCACCTAAGCATAGCTTATAATATAGTACCAGCGCAGAGTTACTACTGAACAGCTCAGGATGATGAACCATCCACCTCCCTGCAGGAATAATAGCAGCTAATTTGGTGACTGGTTTGTCACCTTTTAGGAGAACTGCAATCCAGGGACAAATTGGGCTTGACGTATACTGTATATAAGGAACTGATGGTCCATCCTTAACAGTAATGCAGTGATTATGCTTCTCTCTGTGTTTGAGATCTTTTAGACCTGGAAGAAGAGAAAGAAGGTGTAAAAATTTGACACTCTTAACTCTGGCTTCAATCTGTGTTCTACTTGAAACTTACTGATTTCATAGATAACCCCAAGTCCTCAGGTGAAGTGTGTGGTGAGCTTTCCTGCTGCTACACAATCACTGTGGATTTCAGGTGTTCCTTTTTAAGGCCAGGAAAGGCTTGGGGGAGGTTTGGCAGCTTTGCTTGGATAGTTATAGCTCTGCCTCAAGGCTGAAGTGCCTTGACACTTTTAGACAGGTAGTCAGGGTAACTTTTGATACCACAGAGATGGCACCTTGGTATATAAATAACTGGAGGTAGAGGAGAGGGCATGATGATAACACACTTTCAAGCCAAGGATCCCACCGAAAAGCTCAATGCAAATATTTCTAACTTCCCAGGATTTGAAATTTCTTAAAGGACAGTTATGCTGCAAGCAACAGCAAACCTACCTTTTCTTGTTAATTGCTTTCAGTATCTTCTTGATGATCTTAGACTCTGGATTCAGACATATTTTCTCCCCGTTCCTTTTCATTGTGGCACTATGGAAGTAAATAGGAGTGAAAATATATAAAATATGTTGGGCCAATAAACAGATGGAATATACAGTTTTTAAGATATTTAAGTTTCACTCTACATGTTCCCCTTTGCTATATAGAAGTGTTAGAATCATCACAAACCCTTTACTGCTTTTGTGATCAATAAATATTTTTATGTGATTACAGCCAGGGAAATTATCATCAGGGATATTCTACTCACATGATCTCAACACGCGGACAAGATGGACTTGCAGGGATCATTTCAAGTTTTTCTAAGGACCTTGGATTAACAGGCTGATTACTAATCTTGATGCAGCTACAGCGTGTAGTTCTATTGAGAGGTATTCCTGCAGAAAAAGAGACAGGTACAGCAGGGGAGGTTAGCACAGTTTTCATCTTAGGCATCTGATGTGGTGCTTAGCAGAAACTATAATCCCCTGTCATCACATAGTCAACCTGAGAAGGGGTTATTCCATTATAAAACAGCTCTGAATGATTAATTAGTTAATTATCTGAAAGAATGTAATTGCAACTTATTGATTTTAAGATCATATCATTGAGCATAGTTCATATGATTAATTAAGCTAACTAAGGGGGTATCTGTTCTTTTCTTTCTCCTCATTCCTTCACATTTTCTATCGTTCCTTTCCCCTTCCCCTTTTGCTCCCACCTCCTCCTCCTTTCATTTATTCCACTTGCTTCTCTGATTGTTAACTCTGTGACCAGAGGGAATCTCGGTTCATTTACCCTTCATTCATAGGCAGGCTGTAAAACTGCAAATACACTATTTCTATATTTGTAGAATTTACACCTAGTTCTATTTCTGACTTTATTTTAAATATCCCTTGGTGTTCCTTACCTTGAGTTCCATTCAGAGTCAGAAGGATGAGACAGAACATGAGAACAGCTCTTTGGTTCATGGTGCTGTGACTGGAGGTTCCTCTGCAGTAGGCTCAGAATGTCTGTGCAGTTGAGGAATGTCTCAGAAAACACGGGGCTAGGATGCAGTATTTATTTGTAAAGGCACATTTCCTCTCTAACTCTGATTGGATAACATTACCATTGACTCAGCTAAACCTGCCTTCTGTTCCTTGGGGAAGTCCCATGTTAAAGAATTGAAGGTTTATTTATATTGATTGTGGCTTCTGAGTTATGGAATTTCCCTCCATCCCCTCTTTTCCATGAAAGCGAGTTAGGTTTCACTTTCCAAATCATGAACTATTTCTTGAAAAACAGAACTTCATTGAATGTAGAAGTAATTTTTAAATGGATCTTTGATTTTCATCTTGAACCTCCTGAAAAATAAAAATGTCAACTTAATCCTCAAGTCAAAGGCCTGAATATAGTTTTAAGATGAATATGTCTTAACATGATTTTTTGTGTTTTTTTTCTTTTTCTTTTTTTCTTTTTTCATATGGCATAGGTATCAATCAACATTACTAACTCCATTTTAACAGACAGGCTAAGTGAAGATGGGAGAATTTAAATTTACATAATTTGCTACCAAGTGGCAGAGCCACAACTAGAACTGGAGTCTTCTGATCTAGTCCCATTTTTACACCTGGAATGTGAAGATGAAAAAAACTTGGTCTTTGTTCTATGACAGTGATTTTCAACGGGTGTGCCACAAGCATTTTTAAAACACGCAATACCTGACTATTTAGTCAGGAGCACTGACCTCTTTTTTCTTAACTTTTCAAATTAAAAAATGACAACCTGCCCAGCCAGCCTCAGTGGTTGTATTGACCTGTGAACCAGGAGGTCACCATTTGATTCCCGGTCAGGGCATATGCCTGGGTTGGGGGGCTTGATCCCCAGTGGGGGGTGTGCAGGAGGCAGCCAACCAATGATTCTCTCTCGTCATTGATATTTCCTTTTTTTTTTTCTATGTGGGATGGTTGATCTTGAGCCTGCAGGGAGCAAGCTGGTTCCAAACTTCTCCAAGTCCACATTTCTTTGCTTCCAATTCTTACGTGTCCAAAGACAGGAAACCACAGACATTCCTTTGTAGGAGTGTTTAATATTGTGTTTTGAGTCCATCTTAATTTGTAGTTGTAAGGCATGATTAGAAATATCTTATATTTATTCACTGAAATACACTTATATGTATTTCAGAGATATCATTTACTTTCTCATTTTATTCCTATAATAACCCTGTAAGAAGTTATCTTCATTTTATATATGGAAGAATAATTTTAGAGGTTAGATAATTGTGTTAAGTCATACAAAGGTTGCCATCTATTTATTCTAACTATGATGTTTTTTCTCAACATTTATTTTAAACTTCTATAATTACTTTCAAAGGCTACGTGATTTTTAAAAAATGACTCTAATCAACTTTTAAAAATTCCTCAGTAATAGCAATTTTTCATCTTTTGTAGGTAAATCTAATTTTTGGAGATAGTAAGTTAGCCAGGCATTGCTCTATGATAAAATATATAAAGAAGTAGGTTTGGTCTTCTTGAAGAAGGTTAAAGATATAAAACTCGCAAGTGTCAACGAATTCCAGAAATGTTTTGGCCATTCATAACATCATTAAAATAAATGAATAGCCTCTAACATAACTTATTTTGATGGAGAACAATACTCATTTGGATAATTGATTTCTGATGTGTTAGTAAAAAAATTTCATGTATTACAGTCAATCCTTGAATAAAAACATCATAACATTAAGAATGGAGTAAGAAAAGGATTCATAGCTACAATAGGATTGTTGCAAAAACAAAGGATGCTTTTTGAAGAAATACATTTAAAAGAGGGGAATATGCCCTAGCAATTTGACTTAGTGGATAGAGCATTGGCCTGCAGACTGAAGGGTCCCAGGTTGGATTCTGGTCAAAGGCATATGCCCAGATTATGGGCTTCCTCCCCACTGGGGAGCGTGCAGGTGGCAGCTGATAAATGATTCTCTCTCATCATTGATGTTTCTCTCTCCCTCTCTCCCTCTCCCTTCCTCTCTGAAATCAATAAAAATATATTTAAAAATAAAAGGGGCATTAGTAGAGACAGACCTTGGGAGAACAGGATGGAAACAGAGGTTGATTTAAGGTGGGTACAGCTCTAAGAAGACTGTCAAGTGCAAAGCAAAGGGGAAAAAGTATTAACCATTAAACTGATAACAGTGACAACTGAAATTAGCACTATTCCCACTGGATGACAGATCAGGGCAAAACTTTGTGTCTTATCTTAGCATTAGTACTTGTCTGATTATTCACTGCAGATAATATCAGCAGGAAGCAGGTGATACCAATATAGTAAAATTTGTTGGGCCTGATAGCGATGTTCAGCAGTATCCAAGTCTGGTTGTGTTCTTTGCAAGGTATTGGTAACAGGAGATGCAAGATGAAACACTGTTCCAAATGCAGGCATTACTCTACAGGGAAATCTGATGCAGGTGATACTTGGAACCTCAGAAAATATCTGGGAGGTCTTTTCATAGTTAGGTAGGCCGAAACAATGTAGAGCTAGGCCAGGGAAAGGCAATGCTTAGGCTATTGTAGGATTAGGCTAGTGTATCTGTCATGTTCTGGCCCAAAACTTGGTGAAGAGGCCAAGATAAAAGCCCATATCTGCAAACTGGGCACACATAAGACTTGGAACCTCAAATGCAGGAACTCTGTCATCAGAACAGTGAATGAATTATTGCTTAGGGCAGGCAGAAATTGCTAGACTGCTGAATTCCAGGTCAGTTTGTTCCAGGGATTGGAACAAAACTAAGCTTTTAAATGGGTAAATCAGTGAACTTAGCTGTGGGAAACTAAAAAGACAAAAGGAAAGGAAATGAATCAGTGACTAATACAACCCAGAAGATTTTCACCCAGCAAAGAGGCTTTCTTCTGACGAGGGAAAAGCTTATAAGAAACAGTGACATGGACAAGCCATTCCAATAGCTGCTTGTGCAGAATAAAAGTTGGACTATGAGTAAAAATGCCAAAAATATTCAGAGAAATGTCTGACCTCATGGATGAAAGAGGCTCTGAACAGTTCAACATTGAACAATAAAATAGATACATGGTGATAATTTTGCTTTTCTTAGTATCTAAGTTCTCAGTTAAGATGTTGTCTGTATAAGCAAAGAGGAAAGTTGAGGCTAAGTGGACTAAATATCTTATTAATGAGAAAATTTTTTTATTTAGTTGATTTTTATTAAACACTAGAAGCCTGGTGCATGACATTAGTGCTGGCCTGCGCCCTTTAGCAGTCTGGGAGCCCTCGGGGGATGTGCCGAAGCCGCAGTCGGACATCCTTAGCGCTGCCATGGAGGCGGGAGAGGCTCCCACCACTGCTGCTTTGCTCCCCGGCTGTCAGCCCGGCTTGTGGATGAGCAGTGCTCCTCCTGTGGGAGCACACTGACCATCAGGGGGCAGCTCCTGTGTTGAGCATCTGCCCCCTGGTGGTCAGTGCGCATCATAGTGACTGGTCATTCTGCCAGTTGTTCTGCCGTTTGGTCAATTTGTATATTAGGCTTTATTATATAGGATATAATTATCTTTCAAATAAGACTTAAAAGATACAATTATACTATTTTTTCTATTTACCCATGTGGTTCTCTGTACTGATGATCTAGGCTTATTTTTTCTCTCTCATTAAAAAAAAATATTTTATTGATTATTTTACAGAGAAGAAGAGGGATAGAGAGTTAGAAACATCAATCAGCTGCCTCCTGCCCACCCCCTACTGGGGATGTGCCCACAACCAAGGTACATGCCCTTGACCAGAATCGAACCTGGGACCTTTCAGTCCGCAAGCCGACGCTCTATCCCAGCCGTGGGCAAACTACGGCCCGCGGGCCGGATCCGGCCCGTTTGAAATGAATAAAACTAAAAAAAAAAAAGACCAGACCGTTTTATGTAATGATGTTTACTTTGAATTTATATTAGTTCACACAAACACTCCATCCATGCTTTTGTTCCGGCCCTCCGGTCCAGTTTAAGAACCCATTGTGGCCCTCGAGTCAAAAAGTTTGCCCACCCCTGCTCTATCCACTGAGCCAAACTGGTTAGGGCTCTCTCATTTTTTAAAAAATTTATTGTTGAAAGTATAGATGTCTGCTTTGTCATCCTTTTGTTAAGTTGTATGAGTGCCTTATATATTTTCTAAATTAACCCCTTATCAGATGTTCATTGGCAAATATGTTCTCCCACGTAGTTGGCTCTCTTTTTATTTTGTTGGTGGTTTCTTTTGCTGTTCAGAAGCATTTTATTTTGATGTAGTCCCATTTGTTTATTTTCTCCTTAGTTTCCTTTGTCCTAGGATATGTATCAGTAGACATTGCTTTTGACAAGTTTCTTAGTATTCACTGATCTGAGTCTAGTTTTGAAAGGAAATAGAAGTTAAGGAAGTATCCCATCTTAGTTTCAGTTTCCAATGCCATAATTAAAAGCTTAATTATGGCATCAGTCTAAAAGAAAAAGTTTGCTCCGGAAGACTTCTTATAGACCCGGAAAAAAAAATGCTTTCCGAGAAACTAATGTGCTTAGAAGAAATTTCCTAAAAAGCAGTAGGAGGAATTCAGTGATTTCTGTAGACTGGGAATCCCCTCAGCTAATATACAATAATACTCCTTAGAAAGTATGGGAGAGGAGGGCAAAGCTTTCCCTTTCATAGTTTTCACTGAGCTCCCACAAGATTCCCTAAGCTCACAATGCCTATAATACTGGTTACATACTTTTGAATTAACCCTTCATAGCCAGCCCGAGCAAAATCCAAAGTGGAGATGGGCCCTTACAGTTGTCATTCTTGGCAGAGCTGAGATTAGCTTCTGATTTTAGATCATGCAATGCTTTGTTTTCCTTACACTTGAGGGGATGATGAAATGGGTTGGAAATCTAGAGATATAGTATACTAGAGGCCCAGTGCACAAAATTCATGCATGGGTAGGGTCCCTACCGGCTGCTGGCTGGGGCCTTCATTCTGTGCCCCGCCCCCTGGTGGTCAGTGCACATCATAGCAAGCGATTGAACTCCTAGTCGGTTGAACTCCCAAGGGACACTTTGCATATTAGGCTTTTATATATATAGATCTGTCTCTTACTT